TACTGCAAGAGGGCATCCGGTTGCCCTAGTAACCAGATTACCACTTACAGCATGAGGCGTTGAGCTACAGGTCACCATTTATGAGAAGTACTTACACAGTTAGGGTAAGTTTTCTTTGTGTGCAGGTTCCTGGTCTGTAATTTGTACCATGCAAAGGAAAGGTACACTTTCTGGCCAGTGTACACTTCTGGGCTCTAATGGTCTTCTACACCATCTCCTCCCTGCTGGGGCCTCAGACAGACAGACAGAAAGCTGGCCTGAACAGGGCTCCTAACACGGTTTCCTATGGTTTACAGAACTTCTGGAGGTTCATATTCCGAAAGAGTCTGCTGTCCACCTCCCTCTGTCAAATGGACTTTGCTGTCCTAGGCCTCGGGGACTCCTCATATGCCAAGTGAGTAGAGGGTGGACATGCTGGCCAGATAGGGATAGTTCTCAAGATCAAGCAAGAAATGAGACAGGCAGCTGAGCCCCCAAGTGCCCATCCACTGTAGACCATGTGTCCCCGCACTGTGTTAGCTGGTCAACCTTATCCACAGATAGCCCCTGATGGGCACCCTAATCCTAATAAGGACTTGGCACAGAGGAGACCACAGTTGGGGAAGGAACAGGGTAGCAGAGTACCACCATGTAATTCAGGGCATGATGAAGCTCAGACCAGCCAGCATTACATTACAGCACATGGTGAAGCTCAATGACATCCGATTTGTCCCTGTTCCTCACAGGTTCAAATTCTACCATGAAGTATCGAGAACTTGAAAAGAGCACTTAGATGGACAGCTTATCTTTAAGTGCCTTGTTAGACAGGAGACAGCTCAGGGGTTTTCTCTTGCAGGATTTGTGCATGGCTGTGTCCCTTTACAAGTAATGCTGTTTGCACCATTTATTTCATGGGGTGAGAATGAGGGATTTCTGCTCCAAGGTGCGACTAGATAGCTAGTACCTGGGACGAGCACTTTGACCACTTCCTGTCTTCATAGGGCCCAGTGTCATCCAGCATTGAGGGCCACTCCAGCACCATAAAAAGCTGTGTGCATCGCAGTGTTCTTAATCACTTAGATAAAAAGAACACGCAATGGAAACTGGGCTTGATGGCTCACTCACCTGAGATGAGGACTGCCAGGATCTCCAGGCCAGCCTGGGCTACAGTGTGGGCCCCTATCTCACTAAACCAAGTATAGGAAATAGGGAGATGGGTGGCAGCATGGCCTTGCTCTGCTAGAGACTTTGCTCACTGCTAGTGTGTGGTTGCACAGAGCATGTGGGAGGGAGTCCAGCTATGGATGTCCCCCAAAGGACAAGCTGGTGCAGGGACCAGTGTGTCTTTTACAGACCAAAGAAAGGAAATCCTCTTACATGAAAACATGGCTATCTGTCCCCTTCCCCAGTCTCAAATGGTAACTGGAGGTCTGGCCCGAGTCCAGAGCCTTGGTCACTCCAGAAATATGGGTTGATAGACTGTCTTCCACATGGCACCTTTTTGAGATCAGGAACCTACCATTTGTTGTCCTTGTTGCTCCAATCTCTCATCCCCTGAATACTGAATACTCTCTCCTAGGATGCTGCCAGTGTGCACTGCTGAGGAGGAGTAACCAACCCTTGAGGGAAGCCCTGTACTATTTGATCTGCCCAGGAGGTCAGCTAAAGTACTCTCCTCACTGTTGGTTATTCCAGCCAGTCTTGCTGTTTCCACAGGTTCAACTTCGTGGCCAAGAAGCTACATCGTAGGCTGCTGCAGCTAGGAGGCAGTGCCCTCCTGCCCCCATGTCTAGGTGATGACCAGCACGAGCTGGGGTAAGTGGTTGCAGCGCCCCTCCCCGGCACCCCGTCTTGGCTCTGGCCAGCAGAGGCCAACGCCTGTGTTCTCTCCTAGACCTGATGCTGCCATTGACCCCTGGCTGGGAGACCTTTGGAAGAAGATAATGGGTCTGTACCCAGTGCCCCTCGACTTCCCTGAGATCCCTCTTGGAGTCCCGTGAGTCTGCACCTTGGGTGTATGAGTACCAAGGGACTTTGAGCTGGTTAGCACTCCCTCAAGGTATGGTTGGGTGGCCCTACACATCTGATATTTCCACTTTCCCCCACAGCTTGCCCTCCAAGTTCATCTTCCAGTTTCTTCAGGAGGTCCCCAGCGAAGGGGCTGAGGAGCCAAACATAGCCAGCTCAGCCCCTCAGAGACCCCCTTCAGAGTTAAATCCCTTCCTGGCTCCTGTGGTCACCAACCAGAGGGTCACTGGCCCTCAACATTTCCAGGATGTTCGGCTGATTGAGTTTGACATTACAGACTCGAGTATCAGGTAAGGGGCCAAAGCCCTCAAGCAGTCAGGCAGGGTGCGGGTAGGGATTCAGAAGGGTCTCCCAGAGCCCAGGACTAGGCAGCTCGGTGGCTCGGATATCTCTACACACAGACCCCCAGCCCTCCATGAATATTCACTTTCTTCCCTCTCCTTAGTCCCTTCACCCTCCCCCTGCCCCTCCCCTCAGCCCCTTTGTCCTTCCCACACCACTCTGACACCCGGTGGCTTTCCCACACAGTTTTGCGGCTGGCGATGTCGTGTTAATTATGCCCTCTAACTCGGAGACCCACACCCAGCAGTTCTGCCAGTTGCTGCGCTTGGACCCCAATCAGTTTTTCATGCTTAAGCCACGGGAGCCAGGTGAGTATGGGAGATGCACCACCTCTTAAGGTCCAAGGCACCCCCTGATGTCCCTACCCACCAAGTCTTCATGGCATTCCTGCAGGTGTCCATTACCCACCAGGGCTGCCTCAGCCCTGCACTGTGTGGCATCTTGTGTCACAGTACTTGGACATTGCCAGCGTGCCTCGCCGTTCCTTCTTTGAACTCTTGGCTTGTCTTTCCCCACACGGGCTGGAGCGGGAGAAGCTGCTGGAATTCAGCTCTGCCAGAGGTCAGGAAGAGCTCTGGGAGTACTGTAATCGGCCTCGCAGGACCATCTTGGAGGTGGGCTAGTGGGCAGGTAGGTGGGTATGGACCCTTGAGCCCTAGCACACCACCGCCATGCTAAGACTCTCTCTGTCCAGGTGCTGTGTGACTTTCCACACACGGCCGCTGCCATTCCTCCAGACTACCTTTTGGACCTTATCCCTCGGATCCGCCCACGGGCCTTCTCCATTGCTTCCTCCCTGCTGGTGAGGGACTCTTGAGTAGAACTGAAGACTGGCTGTGGGAAAGCTGGGACTGGACAGGGTGTTTGCAGACAGGGGCCGCCTTCTGAACAGGGACTGTTTCTCTACCAGGGACGGACCCTGGGTGGGGTTGGTAGCAGGTAGGAGTGGGTTAGCAGGGCAAGGCCCTCACTGTGCCCCTAGGCTCATCCCCGGAGGCTGCAGATTCTTGTGGCTGTGGTACAGTACCAGACTCGCCTCAAGGAGCCCCGCCGTGGCCTCTGCTCTTCCTGGCTGGCATCTCTGAATCCTGAGCAAGGTAATGCCTATTTCCGGGGGTGGGAGAGGCTATAGCCTCAAGCTCCTACTTCCCCTGTGCCTCCTGCCACAGGAACTCAGGCCCCACCAGTGAGCACCTCGGCCTTGTCTTTTGACCTCCTTCATGCCATCTCCCTTCTGCAACAGGACCTGTCTGGGTGCCTCTGTGGGTGCGGCCTGGGAGCTTCACGTTCCCAGAGACACCAGAAACACCCATTATCATGGTGGGGCCTGGAACTGGTGTGGCCCCCTTCCGAGCAGCCATTCAAGAGCGAGTGGCCCACGGCCAAACTGGTGAGTATAGGAGTCCCAGGGCAGTGTGACCACTGAGACTGGTCTGGCTGAATCCCTGCATCCCGACGGGGGGGCCACCCTCTGTACCCCAGGAAACTTCTTGTTCTTTGGCTGCCGCCAGCGGGATCAGGACTTCTACTGGCAGACTGAGTGGCAGGAGCTAGAGAAGAAGGGCTGCCTGACCCTGGTCACAGCCTTCTCCCGGGAGCAGGTGAGTAGACTCACGGTAGACGGGGCAGGAGTCTGGACGGCTGAAACTCAGCCTCTGACACCTGCCTGCAGGAGCAGAAGGTCTATGTGCAGCACCGGCTCCGAGAGCTGGGGCCTCTTGTCTGGGAGCTGCTGGATCGCCGGGGTGCCTCCTTCTACCTAGCAGGGTAAGCCAACGTGGGAGTGGAGGAGTGGACCAGCCTTCAGAGGTGGGAAGTGGGGCTTGGGGCCACAGGATCACTGAGCTTTCCGAGGTTTGCCCCTCCAGCAATGCTAAGTATATGCCTACGGACGTTGCGGAAGCCCTGACATCCATTTTTCAAAAAGAAGGACAACTCTCCAACCAAGACGCCGCTGCCTACCTTGCCAGGCTCCAGCAGACACTGCGCTTCCAGACTGAGACCTGGGCCTGAGGAGCCGCTTGCTAGCTCACATCCACATTGACAGCTCCACTGGAGAATCTGCTGGATGGAGTCTGGAGGGCCCATTGTTACCTCCTATCCTCTGACCCCAGAACACTTGTTAGACCCATGGTGGAGCTTCTTGGCGCCAGCTGGGTAGGAGGGCACTCTGAATACAGCCAAACTCCACGGGACCCAGTGTTCCACCCACACTTAGCCCCAACCCCAGTGTAAGTCCTGGTTTCCTCTCCGTCCCTTCCATTGTGCCCCAGATCTGCACTGTGGTCCATACCACCAGGGTCCTGCTGAGGCCTCCAAGAGGCATGGAGTCCTGTGAGGGCCGCGCTGTCCCTCTGCTCTGGTGCTATTTCCATTCACCCCCACAGCATCTGTGGGGCTCAGGTGAGAGGCCCCCCAGGGGCTAAGTCTCCTGAGCATTGAGAATACGCACACAAGTCAGTGTGTCTTCAGGTCCTTAAACATCTTCAGTAAACTGCCTGGGTAGCTGCTCCTGCTTCTTTGCTTCTCCTAGATTTGAGGGTAGTGGGTGGGACATGGATGATCTGCATCTGCTAGTGGTGGCCAGAGACCTTTCCAGGGCACGTGCACAGGCTGTGTACACGTATGTCCTTGTTAGTTACCTGTGCTTGAGTCACACTACACCTGGGTGTGTGATGTGTAAGTTCCTGCCGGTGTCCCCTTTGAGTTAGAGGGCAGGCCTTGGCTCTGTCTGATCTTAAACCTTAACAGCTCAGCCAAGGTCATGCCCTGTTTGATGGCCAAGCAGGCCCAGAGAGCCATTGGAAAGTCCCAGCCAAGGGCTGGAACACTATTCTTTCCTTCTCAAAGAGTTAGAAGAATGAGCAGGTGGAGGGGGCGTGATACAAGTTGGCCCGCCCATGGGCAGGGCCTCTACCCCTGGAAAGAGAAACCCTGTTGGAGGAGTCAGACAGGTCCAGGGCAGCTGGGAGGTGAGGAACCTCTGTTTTGTCCGACAACTGCTGGAACAGAGACCAGGCCTGCCAATACCACTCTTAGGCCTGGGACACCAGGAGCTGACGACGCTGCAGGGATCCAAGTGAAGCTCACTTCCAGTGGGGTCAGCAAGCCCAAAGGTGTATCAGGAGGTCAGTGCTCCAGTGACCGGAGACCAAGCTCTGCCTGGCTCCTGAGGGCCACCTAACCTTCACACCCCCCAACAATCCCTGCTATCACCCTGGAGTCGCAATCCACCCATCCTGATTTCTGTTCTGGTGGTTCAACCCTGGGGTCTGATGACACCAGCTCTGCACCCACCACTTCACCTCGTGCCTCTTTGAGTCCTGAGCTCCTGGACCCACTGTGCCAGCTACCAGCAGATGAAGAAGATAATCTCATGGCCCCCCAAGGTGCCAGGACTCCAGACAGTAAGCCTGAACTGGGGGCCAGAGATCCAACTGGTGCCTGGGCCCTGTCAACTATGGAGGAGCAGGAAGAGGGTGAGGGACAGGCAGAGGAGGAATGCCCCATCTGCACTGAGCCTTACGGGCCTGATGACCACCACCCGGCCTTGCTGAACTGTGGTCACAGCCTGTGTGTGGGCTGCCTGCACCAGCTGTTAGGAATGACCCCCAGAGCTGACCTGGGCCGTGTGTGCTGTCCACTGTGTCGTCAGAAGACACCCATGCTAGAGTGGGAGATCTGTCAGCTGCAGGAGGAACTGCTTAGAGCTGATGGACCCCAGCGCCCAGTGCCCGCTGCATCCACCACGCCCCTGCGCCCAGGCCCTGGGCCTTGGGGATCCTTAGAACACCGCTACCGGCTGCGTTTTCTGGCAGGGCCTGTGGGAGGCCGGAGCTGCCTCCCCTTCCTCCCCTGTCCTCCCAGCCTGGGTACCTGGCTGTGGACACTGCGGGAACGTGGCCCATGTGCCCGCCGTCTATCACTGCTGAGCCTGCTGGCATTAGAACTGCTGGGCCTGGTGCTCATCTTCATGCCACTCATGTTACTAGGAGTGTTCTTCATGCTCCTAGACCGTTCCGGCCGCTAAGCAGAGCCTAGGATGTTGGCCAAGTTTTGAAGCCCATGCTCAGAGTCTGGTAATCAGCAAAGACTTGCTATCACCAGTCCCAAGACCAGGCCTGCCCAGGTGCCTGAGCCAGCCAGAGTGCTTACACACCCCTGCAGCCCAGATAGTGGCTAAAGCCAAGGACATTAAGCCAAGGACAGCCTCTGAAGGAGATTGGCCCAACAAGAAGGGCTGTGAACAGAACCCCGTGTGCTCGCCATGGACAAGCACTTTGCTAGCCACAGGCATTGGCTGGGTCATAACACCAGCTCCTGAGGTCCAGCTGGTGAGGGTGAACACAAATGTGAACAGCGATCTAGCAGTAATTGTTTATAGGAGAAAGCAAGGGCTGCAGGACCCTCACCTGTTCCAGACAGAGGTTGGGGTGTGTCCCTGAAGGCCACCGTAGCTAGCAGGAGAGGCCTGCACTGCACAAACCCAGCCTTCAAAAGCTCACCCAACCTAAGACCCTCACCAAACAGGGTATCCCGGAGCAGCTGGGATCAACATTGGCTTTGTCCTGAAAGGACCAAAGTTCAATCCAGACCCTGAAGCCTGCAAATGCCCAGGGTCCAGCTCTGTTTCTAACTGACTGCAATTTGTGTCACAGGACCAGGAGTCCCCACTTGGGAGATGAAGACAAATGTCAGCCCACCTCATGGCTTGTTAGTGACACAATGCAAGGTGGTGGGATATTTCGGTCTCTATCCAGCATTAGAATGGCTCTCAATAAACAGTTGCTACTGATACCATTGTTACCACAGTCCTCATTCCTCCATCTCTGCCATCCAGGCAGCTCTCCTCAGCCTTCAGTGGTACCTGCTCCAATCACAGGCGGCCCAGAGCCCCACAGCAGCCTGCTGGGTCCTTGTCCCTGCCATGACCTCAGCCAGCTGTAAGCCTCTACTCCTGCTATCCAAAGGCCATTTCTACACATCCTTGGCCAGAGGAAAGGTACTTCTCCGGGGGGAGAGGGGTAAGATCTCACTGTAACCCATGCTGACCTCACCATCCTCCTGCCTTAGCTTCCCGAGTGCTGGGATTAGCAGTGAGCATCACCACACACAGCTGAAGATTCTGTCTGCCTAGCTGGGTCACAGCCCCATGTGCCACACACAACTAGCAGTCTTTTGCACCAATGTGTTCACAGCTAGTCCCAGGCCTCCTGAGCAGCACACTCGGCCCAGCTTCGCCTTCAGCAAGCAGAGCCGGCCAGCCTTGAATGGAGCTGGGTGGCCCTCTGGCAGCTCCTAATTAGACCCTGACTGGGCTACAGCCCTGGGAACCTACCCTGGGCCCAGGCCTGGGCAGAGCCCACAGGAGTAAGCTTCAATCAGGGAACACGTGCAAACTTTGGCAAAGAGTTTTAATGGCAAAGTTGGCTGCAGCGACAATGCCACGCAGGGTAGGGCCAGAAGCCACAGTGGGCAGGAGGGTCAGCGGGCGACAGGACAGGGCCAGTTCCCTGAAGAAGCGGCGAGCAAGGTCCGGCAGGCAGTAGTGGGCAGGTGGACACTACATGATGGAACAGGCTGACAGTGGGTTCCGCACATGGCAGGTGCATGCAGCCCCACAGTACTGCCGGAAGGTCTGGTAGCAGCTACCTTCAGACTCACCCCCCCACTGGCCACCGGATGGGGCAGTCAGGGCTTCGGGTGGCAAACGGCTGAGGATGGACGTGTTGACAGCCAGTGCAGCCAGGCCATAGTCAGTGAAGAGCACAGTCTCACGGTGGCAGGTGGGACATGAGATAAACTTGTACTTGGGGCAAGACTCGTAAAGAATCTGCAGGCACTGCTCACACACAGAGTGCAGGCAAGACAGCACACGGGGCCGCCGCTGAGTGACGTTGTATGTGTGCCCACAGGTGGGGCATTCCAGGGGCTCACCTGCTACCACGGGCCCGGATGATGAAGGTGCAGAGGCTGTCGGGCCAGGTCGAATCACATACTGATTTACAATGACCTCATCCACTGGTGCCACCCGGGGGAAGCCCAATTCAGAACTGCCCTTGCGGGGCCGCCTTGGCAAGGGTGGAGTGTGGGGTGCTCCTTCCAAGGAGGGCATGTCCCCCCCACATGCCTGGTTGACAATGATCTCTGTGTCTGAGGGCCAAGCACGCTTGGGTGCCAGCGTGGGAGTGGGCCTGGGTGCAGGTGGGAAGCAGGGGGTGGCCGCCGGGAGCTCAGGGAACTTTTCAGGGTGGACAATCTTCATGGCCTCCATTTTGAGGATGACATGGGGGCCTTTCAGGCAGGACATGAGGAGGCCCGGCCATCCACTGCCCACCTCGGGCCCAGGGTCAGCTGGCATCCGGCCCTCTACCGTCAGACCGGACGTTGGCACAGGTGGGGGTGTCGGGTGGGGCCGTGGGGGAAGAGAAGGGGCTGCATCCTGGTCCTGCCAGGCCTGGTGAGGACCCCGGTTACTCCGTGGGCTGCAAGGGGCAGCGGGTGACAGGTTGGGGGGCAGGGCCCCCCCCAGTGGCCACAATGGCTTATCTGGTTCAGTCCGAAGAGGAGGAGGAAGAGGAGGGGGAGGGGGAAGCAGGCGGGGGCAAGGGGGTATGGGAGGCTGTCTTGGGCTGTGGGGCTCACCCAGCGGCTCACCCAGGGTCTCTGTCTGCTGAGGCTGGCAAGGGGGCGTGGAGGGGCCTCCTCCTGCAGCAGAGGTCAGCAGTCCCTGGGCCGGGACATCTGGGCAGGCAGGGGCTAGGTGGGCCCCATGGCTCCAGGACAGGGCGCCCAGGGAAGGCAGCTAGCCTGTTCCCTGGCTGCCGGAGGACCTGGGCTGCAGGCTCCGCGGCAACAGCAATGGAGAGGCCTGCACCAGGCCCGAGCTGCGGGTGAGAGACAGCGTGAGGGCAGCACGGGGGCCCACCTCACTTTCGCCCTCACCCCCACCCTGCACAAAGGACAGGGTGCCCGACCTCTGACCCTGACCTCATCCGTGCGATCCAAGCCTTCACGGAATTCTGAACCCAACCCCCTCCCCAGTATGCCCTCCGAGGCCAGATTCACGGTCCGGAGGACTGACCCTACGAGAGTGGGAGGGATGATGCGTCTGACCCCCGCCCCTCCCCCCCAGCTCACCTGCCCCAGCCTGGCGTTCCCTGGCTGCGCCGCCGCAGCAGCAGAGGTTGTCTCAAAGGCAGGCCCGGATGCGGCGCTCGCACCTTGGCTCTCCGGCTCTAGCGGCTCCGCTAGCTCCCGCGGCTCCAGAGGCGACCTCGGGCGATGGCGGGCGAAGGCGGCACCCAGGGGCGCGAGCGCTGGT